GCCCCCTAGAGTTGGACACGACTGGACAGGGGAAACCTTTCCCTTTACTGTAAAATAAATCTGTTTCATTGAAAATAAATACACCTCCCCCCCCAATTTTAATCATTGTTTTAAAGGGCATGCCTGCTTACATTTCACTGTAGTCAGAAGAAAGAACACTGCTTTTGCAGATTTGGAATAGAGCTGGGGAAAATATTTTGGATGTCCATACTAAAACATGTGAATACACATATTCCAAAAGGAGAGCAGGCAAAAAATGCCTGGAAGGTGAGCTGTATGTTCAGCAAAGGAGAGACAGGGAAAGGAAGATGCTGGGAAGTTGTAGGGAGAGTGGGTTGGTGGTCTGTTGGATATGCCATACTTGAAACTAAGGACATTGCTGGTGGCAGCTCAGCTGTTTTCAAGCAAGGCATATCCAACTCATCTGTCCAACCCGCCAATCTTCTCAGTGTCTTCCTTTCCCTGTCTCCCTTTGCCTGATTTGCTTGGGGTAGTGAAAGGAAGATGCTGGGAAGCTCGGAAGTGGGGCGAATGGGCTAATTGGTTATCCTGTGTTTGAAGCAAGAGCATCAGCCATGTCATCAGCAATTAAGGGGAAAGGAAGGCCCTGGGAAGATTGATAAATAGCTGTACAGAAAGACCTTGCCTTTACACCCTCAGGCTTAGTACTTGGAAATTCCCTTCTAACTGCAGTCTGATCACATTTCCTCATCTCATCCTTCTGCATTGTGGAGTTCAGGGTCAGGGTTTGCATAGCAGCTTGTACCTCATGGACATAATTATTGCTCCTCTAAAAGATGAACCAAAGGCTCAAGTTTCAGACAGGGATCTGAGAACAGGGCACTGCTTTCTATTTAGCATGATTTTTCAATGAACTGGTCATCCTCTCTCTCTCTCCCCCAGTTCTCTCTTTGAGACCACCTGTATTGCTTTACTGCAGTCCAGCCAATTGCAGCCTATTTAATAATCCATGGTTAAGCAAGCAGTGTTATAATATATATGAACCAAAGCACTGTTTATCAGAATACTCTACAGGGAGAATTTTCCCATAGTTTCTTCAATATACATAAGAAGTAGAGGCGTACACATATATTTAGCTCCCTCAGAAAACAGCAAAGTGGTATCTCAGAAAAGTTTATGTTAGAAATCTAGTTTAATGTTTTTTAAAAATAATTCTGTATTCCTCGCAAATTCAGAACAGACAGAAAAATCATTAGGGTAATCAAATAATATATTGTAGTAACTTATGCAATGGATTATACAGAGAATGTTTGGATAGTTTGACCTTTTAGGTTTTTCCTACTAATCTCTCTCTTCCAAAAAGCACTTGCTATTTATAAGACTCTTGTGACCCACTAAAGTGAATTAATCCCATTTCATCATCTCAATAAAATACAGTATTGCTTCAGGAGAATCATGATGAGTTCCCCAAATCCAGAACATTTGTGCAGGTGAGAAGGAGGATGTTTTAAAGCATGGACCCCTGTTTTAAAGGAAGTATGTGTCTCTCCTCCCCCCCCCAAAAAAAAAATTCTGCAGGAATTTCTCTCTGTAGGCAGCTGGAAGAATCTAATTTCCATTTCATATGTGTGTTTCTCTAATATCTGTACTTTTTTCTTCCACAGTGAAACCAGGAGTCTGTCCAGTGCAATACACAGTTTGCCGAGCAGCCTTTGATGTATGCGAGAAGGATGATGAATGTCCAGGAATAAAAAGATGCTGTGAGGGTAATTGTGGGACAGTGTGTCGCACACCAGAAAAAGGTACTTCTTGGGGCTTAAATCTCTTCTCTCTCTCTCTCTCCAACTTCTTTGAAAGTTCAGCCTAGAAACACACCCTCTGCAATTCTGTATATAGTTATCAAAACGGAAAAAACTAATTAGGAAGCAAAGCTAGTAACAGGTGATCAATTGATTATTTTTGCCTTTTGTGGACATAGGAAGATCACCACTTCATGAATGGGCTATATAAACATTTTTTTCTCACTCTTGAATTTAACTATTGTCTATTTTATTTATTAAATTTGTTTGCTGCCCATCTCACCTCGAAGTGACTCCATGTGGCTTACCATGTTAAAGCAGGAATAGTGCTATTTAAACTATTTCCTCACATGATCTCTTCATAGCCCTCCCAACTCTGCTTAGATTTGGATGTTTTTAATAGGGATATCTGATGATGCATGCTAGGAACATGCTGGAACAAGAATTGTGAATTCCATCACAAAGGTCCTGCATCCTGTGATCTCAGAGACCAATTTCTGCATCTGGAAGGCTAGAACAGAAGCCATAGCCTAGTGCATAATAGCCTAAAGTTTTGCAGCTGTCCTTATGTTGAGTCAGCACCTTCTCTTAGAGCAGAGATGCTTGAGTCCAAGAGAGGGGGGAAGCATGAGAATGAGATGTAGAATAGCACCTCTTTAATTACTTTAATTGAGGCCTTTGAACTATGGTGCTGGAGAAGACTCCTGCAAGTCCCTTGGACTGCAAGGCGATCAAACCGGTCAGTCCTGGAAGAGATCAACCCCGACTGCTCTTTAGAAGGCCAGATCCTGAAGTTGAAACTCAAATACTTTGGCCACCTAATGAGAAGGAAGGACTCACTGGAGAAGGGCCTAATGCTGGGAAAGATTGAGGGCAATAGAAGAAGGGGACGACAGAGAATGAGGTGGCTGGATGGACTCACTGAAGCAGTAGGCGTGAGCTTAAATGGACTCCAGAAGACCGTAGAGGACAGGAAGTCCTGGAGGAACGTTGTCCATGGGGTCGCAATGGGTTGGACATGACTTCGCAATTAACAACAACAACAATTACACTAGTATAGGTAGTGGGCGAGAATTATTTTAGTAGGCAAGATTCTGTTACAGATCTCTACCAGCAATTGAAGATTTTTCCAGAAATCCAAGTAGTTTTGCTTCCTTAGTGCCCCTGACACAAAGGACTTGATGTGTCATGACATCTGATGCAAGACCATAAATCACATTATTTGCATGATGACATTTGTTGTATCATTTTGTCTCCACTCCCGGGCTCCCACTGAGGTTGCTTGTCTTCTCAAATATCCTTCTTCCTTTCTCTAAAGTGTAAGCATAGCTTCCTTATCAGATTTAAGCTTTAATGCTGTCCTCCTTCTGTGTAAATAAAGTGTCTTTAAGGCTCGGATTGAATACTATGGATACAGCTTTTTCCTACTGCTCTTCTTTGCAGAAAAACCAAATAAATGCCCAAAAGATATTATAAAATGTCCAACTAAAGGACCATATGAATGTAATAATGACTCTGAGTGCAAAAAGAAGAAAAAATGCTGCTTCTTAAAGTGTGCCTTGCGCTGTGTGGAACCATATTAAGGTAATTCCAGTGGGGAATACTGACCCCATATTTCTGCATGGCTCAAGTCAAAATGAATGGAAATGAACTGGTCTAGGGTTCTGGATTATCACACATCCAACTTCTCACAAATACTGCACTTAAGATTAAAAAAAAAGCCTTGTGATTAGGGTTCTTCTGAGTTAGGAGTGTACAACCTCCAGTAACCTAAAAGCCATTCCAGGCTTTGTGTGCCAAGTATGCTCTCAATTTTTCAGGGTTCTTTAATGGCAAAATGATGCCTTAAGTCTCTACAAAGCTTAGAGCCAGTATTTTGCCCTTAGACTTCCAAGAAGAATGAAATAGACTAAATTTATCTCTAGGGCGACCGGGTCACAAGAAGGGAACTATTAGTTGTGGCTGCATTTTATACACTCCTAAAAGTCAGTAATCTCCATGTTACTGAAAAGTCACAATGGCCTTTTCTGTACATGATGTTTTTGGACAATATCATCATTGTCTAATATTTCTTTTGTTCTAGGAAAGGCAGCATAGGTAGAAAAAAGGCCTAGCAGCTTGGTACTAGATGATCACCACTATCTGACCTTTTTGTAATTTATAGTTTATTGATTCCCCCCCCCCCCCCCCCCC